TATATATATATATAAAAATATATACACATACACACACATATATGAGCTGCAGAAGTTCTCTCACCTCCAGAAGAAGTAAACTTCCAATTCCAGTATGTAATTGTGCACGATGCTGTACTTCGTATTTTCTAGGGATGCACTTTAAGTACGCTAGCAGAAATCTGTGATAAAGCTGCTCTACAAGCCCCACCCAAACCAAAGTATGCCATATAATTAGCTTTGACAAAATTCACGTCCAGGTATACTTTAATCATGAGATGTAACAATCCAGCAGTTCCACCGAACTGGTTAATGTTCCTATGCGAACGTTTTATAAAGAAAGCAACATGTTTAAATTGTAAGCTTCATGTAATAGAAAACAGTAAAATTGTATCTACGAACTTTAAAGCGGTCACTCTGATGAACAACATTAGAGACACGGGCATGGGAGGCGGGTTCGTAATATCTTAACTATGTAACCATTAGGAGGTGGAGAGTCCCTTAGAAAAGGGGGATTAATTAATTTCAAACAAACATTGCTGAAGCACACCAAGGCAAGTCTCTCTCTCTGGGGCAAAAAGGAAGAGGCAATGGTACAGCCTTGGCAATGCCAACCAACACCAACAAGAGCTGCTTGGTCTGCAACAGCCTCTAGAAAGAGGACACACCTGCCTCACGCCCCACACCGAGCTAACAAAGGAAAGAGAACTTTTTCACATTTCAGTTTATTAAAAAGGGATACCATAAACAAGACCTGTACAAAAAAAAATAGCCGAAATTGCCCAGAATTTGGTAACAGTTGCGCGGTGAGAAGTTATCGTCTTGGGCCCCCTCTTCCTCTTCCACGACCTCGGCCTCTGCCACGGCCTCTGCCACGGCCTCTTCCAGCAACTTGGTGGACAAAACAAAAAGGATAAACCAAGTGAGACCCAGGAATACTTTCATTTTCATTAAAACATTCTGTATCAAGCATAAACAACGTCACGTCTCATCACAGGGAAGTGATATTAAGTCAGATATTAAGTCTGGTAACGCTCACTAAGTTTCAGACAGTATTTTCACCTTTTGTGTTAGGTTTTTCAGTGTACAACTTCCACAGACTGCTGTCTGCCTTTGGCTTTGCTGCAGAAAACAGGGGGGTGTAACAGCTGGCTGCTCCCAAATGCTAGGGTAAGTCCACAAGAGAACTATGATTCCCCCACCTTTTTTTTTTTTTTTAAATCTAGTTTTTCAGGCATCAGAAAAAGCATATGCAAATCAAGAGTATTTTCTTACCATTCATTACAGTGGAAAAGATACTTTTTTTGCCACACCTCGTACCGTGGTTTATAAAGTACTCTGCTACAGGGAAATGCGAGTTTTAACACGCTGTGAGATTCCCAAGCTCAGCCTTTCCCCTGCGAAAGGGCAGCATTTCGAAAGGATCCCACCACCAAAGAGCTCCTACGGTTTTCAATGATGCCTCTGCCAATTTCAGACGTGATTCTCAGGCCAAGGTCAAATATCGCTATTGAATGGTGAAGGGAAGACAGAATCACAGAATAATTCAGGCTGCAAGCAACTGCTGGAGGTCATATGGTCCATATGGTGGTAGTGTGTCATTTCACCCCCTTTTCCTAAAGGAACACAACCTGTCCCAGCAGGTCGCAAGGCCACCTACAAACTTTTGACATTACTGGTTCATTCCAAACAAGTTGGTCAGTGCAGGGCTCAAAAAGGTACTTAAAATTCTGTGGAAGTGGGTGGCTGGGTAAGAGACACACACCAGCATCCACACTCCAGACGCCAGCTGTAACAACTGCTCTGTGTGTAGGTTAGAATATGGTTAGATTATGTTAATGGGCACGAGAGGAGCAAAACACTTTCAGGAGCTTTACCCTTACTCTCCATAAAGACAGCAGCCATACCACTCGCACTTTGGGATGCACACACCGGAGGGTTCCGTATACCATTTCAATACGGTAAGCACACCAAATCATAATGTACGCATGGATCAAAGACCGCAGATCCAAATACTTAAATGCTAATTACAGGAGAAATGGTATGACATTATTTTAGAGCACGATTAGCTCTCACTTACAACTCAGAATTTTAAAAACACACAGATTAACTGTTAGGCAAAATATATAGTGCCTGTACACAACGTACAGATTTTCTGGGGTTTACTGGATATTAATCTTTAATAGTGTGGATTACAACTGAATTACAACTGAATTACTCTCTATACCGTTAAGCTTCCAGGGAAAAGGTTTTTGTTGAACAGCCTTTTGAAAAAAAAGGTTCCAGGAAGAGCACAGAGCAGAACAGTACCGGGAGCCATGGTTAGAGAGCTGCTCGTCGGAGCACAGCCTAGGCTCCCTCAGATTCTCAAGTCTCTCACATCCAGCTCTCTGACAGACCATTTTTATCCCCTACCAAGTGAGAGTTCAGTGAAGCACTCAGCACTGTTCAAGAGGCTGCTCTGCACTTTCTTATCGAGTCATGTGAAGTTCCCCATACAAACTGGGTAAACACAGCAGACGTTTGGAGAAGAGGAAATGTAAATCTCTTTGGTCTCCACTCCGAGACTGTGATAGGTTAAGATTTACTCAAGCTTAAAAACATTTACATTTTTAAAAACAGATGTATGAAAAGACATACATATAATTTCACATGAAAGAAAGCTCTATAGATGCTAAGGAGGTGGGCAAGGCAGACGTAGCCATCTCAAAGATGAAAGAACAACTGCCAAATGCAGACATTAAGACACTCAAATCTGATGTCTTCACATTCAGAGTACTAAAATGCATACAAAGGCAGAACAAATGCAGACCGAGAAAGCACAAACTAACCTGCTTCTCTTTTCTTGGACTTGACTTTTGGTTCAACATCCACTAGCAAAGTATCCAGAGGCAAACTGTCTGGCAGAATGAAGTATCGGATGTTATTCCCTCGAATACTCAGCGTCTCCAGCTGTACAGGTTCTCTGTTCTTCAGTGTCATTTTCACTGCTTTGAGATGGGTATTCATACTGACGTCCACTCCTGAAACAACACAAGTCTCGTTTCAGGGATAAAAGCCTGTGAGATGGTCCCTTGTTGGCTATTTTTAAGTATGTGCACGCTTCGAGATTTATGGCTGCCACTCATTAATTCCCCCTCTAGCTGAAGGAAACTACATGTCTTTTTCTTTCTTAAATTACGCTCACCTTCAACACCTCATTGCTAGAGCTCTTTGTCTAGGTCCTGGCAACAGCAATTTTGTAAATGGTTAAAACAATTCCTTTGAACAACAAATAAACTGCCGCTTATTACTAAAGTCTAATACTTGTCTTTTTACTCCTTCAAAAAGAAGCAAGACAAACCTTTGAGGAGGAAAAATAACTTGATCATTTCTGTAAGACTTAGAAAAATCCAACTGATAAAATACATCTAACATCAGTGTGGTATCTTCTATGAAGGTACATAAAATACACTACTGTAAGGAACAATCACTGCGGTTACAAACTCCATGAAGAGCCAGGATGTAAGAATTGTATGGAATCAGTACTGTGCCCACCATGTTGTGCTACGCGTAATTTTAAACTGGAAAAAAGTCTCAGTTGGATGCATGTACTGAAGAACAGCCCTGAAAAGCATTCAAAAAAAAAAAAAAAAGAAAAAAGTCCTATTTTAGCTTTTATTTTGCGCATCACAAGCCCTGCAAGGTATTTGATCTCAAACTATAAAGATCAAAATGAGAGCAACTTTTTCAGATCAAAAACGTATGCAAAAGATGGGAATTGTAGTTTACAAACACCTGCTGATTCAGTGACAGGGCACCTGCACCAGCAAAATTTTAATGTGTTCGAACTTCTGTAAAACAACACTTTGGGGTAAAAATAATTATCATCTCGTTTCATAAATGCAGAAAGACAAACTGTAAGATGTCTTACCAAGGTAAATAACACAAGTGAGCGGCAGGACAGAACCAGAAGAACTGCTGTGCTGTGCTTATTCCGTGTATTTTTCTGTCCTTTCCCCTTCTAGATTTTACACAGCTCCCCAGCACCTGCACCCCACCTGACCCTCCTTGGTTTGAGTAAGGTATCCATCACATGAAACCTGCCCCTTCAGCAAGCCTGCTCTGGCCAACTGACAGTTGGTTAGGTTTGCAGAAGGCACAGCAATTACAAACATTGTTCACGCGTCAGCGTAAAAGGAAGACTGTCATTTTAGAAAGATGGATTGCATTCAAAGCTTTCACAGATTCTTAGCAGAAAACGAGAGAGACTTTGCTCAACAATTAAGCCTGCAAGAGCACCAAGGTCAGGAGACAAGCTGTTAGTTTCCCTCCTGCCTTGCTGGGCTCAACAGAGCATGCCACAATCGGATACCAGGGTGGTGCATTCAGGTCTAATCAAAGCTGATGGTTCTGACCGCAAAATAATGCCAGTTTTGAACTTTGCCAAATCTCAACAGACTGCTGCTGGCCAAAAAAGCACCTAACCAATCCCCTGGAATACAACTCTGCCAAGTCTGGATTTTATTTTTTTAACAGTGTCTGGGTAGAAAAGCTGCTAAAAGCAGCCTGGGGTGAGCGAAGGAACAGAGATCAAGCGTGTTCATTGGCTTAGCTGTAAGGGTTTGCTTCATTAAATACAATGCTCCCCACCTGCACACCTGATTGTCTCTAAAGCAATGCTAACATGAATATTCTCAGAACAGTATCCCTCACTGGCATTACTAAAGCAAACAAAATAGCCCGCATATTTTTCAATACATATGAGAACCACATCATGAACCACAAAGGCTTTTCCTACACCTTTTGGTTCAGCGATGCAAAGAAGCACCTGATAGACAGTAACACCCACAAACTTCTACGATAGACCACTGGCAACACCAGGGGACCAGATTCTCAACACCAGGATTCCTTTTTGCCCTGTATCCCCCATCAAGCTATGTGTTTTCAAACCCGTTTCGTGAAGTCAATGCAAATATATGCAAAGATACTTCTTCATATAAGTCCACCTTAACCACAGCAAAAACATGCTCAACAGAAATAATTCATTTTTTTAGATTAGAATTGCCTACACACAAAATGTAACCGATTTAAGACCACATCATCACTTAACATTTGCCATTTATCTCTGCTACCATTAAAAAAGTAAGTCCCTCTTCTAGCAATTCAGCTGTAATGTTTTTATTGCTTATTGCAATTTCACAGGTGAAAGTCAGATGTACTGAAACATCTCAGAAAAATTTAGCTGTATATCCACTACCAGTTTGATCTGGTAGTAAAACTTCCTCACGAACATTACCGTGGGGCTAAAATTCTAAGAGCATAATACCATGCTTACACCAGCTTTGCCAACGGTTTGGAAAAGTTTACTTCCTTCACCCCCAAGCCTGTTTGTAAGCAAAGCCTGCAGTCAGGCTGCTCAGGACTACAGGAATTTGCTGCCTCCCAGCAGCACCTTATAAACAGAAGGCTTATTACAAAATAAATCAACAGTGTAAGTTTGACCACAGGTGAACTCGCCCACTAGTATGTCAAAGACGGTCTGTGACCGACTGAAATGTCCAAGTATTTTTGTGGTTGCCTATGGAAAGCTGGCTGGTCACAGCTCGGCACTCTGTTCCCAGCAACTTCTGCCAATGTCGACTCTTCTGTAACAAACACACCTTGTGCTTGCACATAGAGATGCAAATTAAAAACAACACCTCCCGCGTCTTATAGAGAAGGTCCCCACGAGAAGGAGTACAAACCAAAAAACCTCAGTCCAAACCGCAGCTGCCGATTGTCTGCAGAACAGTAATAGGCAACTCTGCTGCCATCTCCCATCCTGCCCTACCTGTGATGGTTCCATGCACCTGTGTCCCGTTCTTCAGTTCAATGGTCACAGTCTCATGGCTCAGCTTCATTAGAAACCTAGGAATTAAAACCGAAATTGTTCACTCCTACACAAAGCCATGCATGTTTCACATCCTGTTACAGAAAACCAACACACACCAAGTATTCACGCGCCCTGAGCTCTCAAAGACAGCATTCCCAGCGTTCATGGATTCTGCTTAAGATGTTTAGTAGGGCATCACAGAGGAGCAAGACACAAAACCCAAGCAAACCCCACACCCTGCCTAACCCCTGGGAGCTGGGACACTTGACTGACAACTGTGGAATCCAGCATCCTATTTCTAGGCGAAATGGTCATTATTATACAAAGAAGAAAACATTTTAAAAGCCGTTAGTATCTCAGGCAGGCACGTCTAACTAAATCTGGAGGGTTTTCCCCCCAAGAGGGTGGTTTTGCTGAGCAACCTGCGCAGGCCCCGCTCCAGGAGCCCCCTCAGGCCTTGCCGAAAGCTGCGCCAGGCCGCGGCTGAGGCAGCGGCG